TCCTTGGGTTTCTGAGGCAGTATCAGTATGGAAGCAGATTGCCCAACCTTCCTTCCGAGGAGTGGTTGGTGGGTGTGAACCACCAGCCTTCTGGTTAGTAGTCAAGTGCCTTAGGCACTATGCTACCAGAGGTCCCATCATCTCATTTAAAACATGAAATTTTTTAATGCTTCAGAGAACTTGTAGATCCCAAGTTTACATCTACACCTGTTGTTGTTGTTGTTATGTGCCATCAAGTCGGACCCGACCCATAGCAACCCTTCCTTGGGTTTCTGAGGCAGTATCACTACAGAAGTAGATTGTCCCATCTTCCTTCCAAGGAGTGGCTGGTGGGTTTGAACTGCCAGCCTTCTGGTTAGCAGTCAAGTGCCTTACGCACTACGCTACCAGAGCTCCTCTACACCTGTTAGCATTCCTTAAATCCCAGTTTTTTTAGAAACTTTAATAAGTCTGCAGATAGCTCAGTTGCTGCCAGTGAAGTCTAACATACCCTTGGGGGTTCTGAAGCATCCATAAGCAGTGGGTATGAGGGGTGAGGTGGGAGAGTGATAAGATAATGGCAGTAATAATAATATCATTATTTCAGCACTTTATAGCTTACAAGGCAGTCAATCACATTATCATACTTTATCCTCCCAAGAACCTTAAAAAATAAAAATTAGCATCACTGTTTTACAAATAAGGAAACAGGCTTGGAGAGGTTAAGTGACTCATCCAATGTCATAAAGCTAAACAGTAGAGCTTAGCACTTGGACCAAATATCCCAATCCCCAGGCCTCTGCACACTATGGCTACTTCTCTTTTGATCTCTGTGAAATCTTTTAAAGTTTAAGGTCCCAGAGAGGTGTTCTTCATGACAAACATGAAGTCAGAATGACTTCAGCCCAGGGTAAGTCTTGTGATGCAAGTCTATTCCTGCATGACTACGAGTTTCAACCCCCTTGACAGTCCTGGATATGTTTATATGAACTGGGTGACTTAGCTGGCTTGGGTACCTTATGAAGAGAGTCTGAAATGAATAAATCCATGGCCTGATTTTGACCTTATGTTGCGTCTTGATCAGAGAAAGTACACCAGAAACAAACAAACAAAGAACCTTCTTGTATCTTCTTGCTCATAACTCTTTCAAATGCATAATACCTGTAGAACCATCCAATGTCCTATAAACACACTTCCTTCTGTCCTCTCCATATGCAAGGCAATTACTGGAAATGTGATGTCCAACACATTAGCCACCAGTCACATATCACTATTTGTGTTTAAATTTAAGATTGAATAAAAATTTTAAATACAGCTTTTTAGTCAAATTTTCCACATTCAAAGTGCTCGATAGCTACCTGAAGCTAATGACTGTCATATTGGAGAGCAAAGACATTGAACAGTTTCAACATCACAGAAAGTTCTATTGCACACCACTGCACTAGACTACTTATGCAAATACACCAAACATCAAAGTACATAGTTCTGACTTCCAGAAAGTTTAGGTTCTTGCTGTACATTAAGGTTCCCTTGGGCCTCTCTACCCATCCCAGGTATGTTTGGAGTGTGTGTGTGTGGGGGGTGGATAACTAATTATAGCCATGAAAAAGGACTGAGAAGAGCGAGAAAACTGAACAAAATCCACATTCTACTGCTAGTAGCCACAGTCACACCCTCTCTGGGGCGTGGTGTACACAGCAGAGTCCTGTCATTATTGTGTGGTACACACTGCCACCCCACCTGTCCAACTTCACACTGATGGAATCTGTGTGAACCTGAGCATGTGTTGTTTCATTTCTGGGCTCACAGGGTGGGGAAAGGGAGAGACACAAAATAAAATCACATGATCAAGTCTTGTCCACTCGTGAAGACCATCTATCTTAAAGATGTATTACTCAAGATTTCCCCCTCTGTTCAGGATAATCTTTTGTACTATAGCCCAGGCTCAGAATGAGAAGCTTCATGTGGCATGATACATAGCAGGAGATCAATAAATTTATTTCTCCTCTAACTCTAATTCATCAATTCGTTTATTTTCCTTCTGTCCCAGAATGTAAGAGGGAACCCAAGAGAGCTTAGACAGAATCTCCTCCTGTCTGCACTTAGTGATCCCCACCTCAGTCTCCTCTGTGATCCTTCTCTATACATTTCTCAAAAGCAATAATAAAATGGAAAACCTCCTCACACCTTATCTGGAATGAGAAAGAGACAATGACCACTAAGAGATGGACATAACTCCCCTCCTCCCCAGCTTGCTCTTGGCTTTAGAGTCTTGAGCTGCGCAATCCAGTAGAAATATAACATAAGCCACATATGCAGTTTTAGCTTTTCCAATAATTACATTAAGATGTAAAAGAGAAACATGAAATTAATTTTAATGATATACTTTATTTAACCCAATATTCCAAACATATTATCATTTTAACAAATTACTAATGAGATAGTATACATTTTTACTTTTCACATTAAGTCTTTAAAATCTGGTATGTATTTTACATGTATGGTACAGCCCATATCTATTGAGAGCAACCATGTTTCAAGGGCTCAATAGGTACATATGGGCAGTGGTTACTATATTGGACAGGACATGTCTTTGGGGATCAGTTTTTCAGGAATTGTCTTCTCTGGTTCTAAGAAGAGAATTGAGTTCAATGAATCCACTTTAAAGTTTCTTTTCTGTAGAATGAATCTCATTTTAGTGACCCTGACCCATTCCCAACATCTATAGGCCATCTTGTATTTCATCACCATCCTAATGATTGTTAGGGAGTCCCTTGATAGTGCAAGCAAAAGGTTACAGGTTTAAGTTCACTCAAAGGGACCTTGGAAGAAAGGCCTGACAATGTACTTCTGACAATTCAGCCACTGAAAACCTTATGGAGCACAGTTCTACTGTGACACATATGGGGTCATCATGAGTCAGAATTACCCAATTACCATATTTCCCAATTACCATAATTACATTGAATGTAGTTCAGCCAACATGTAATCCAGCCTCAGCCCGATACACATCTCTCCCAAATCAAAAACACTACTTTCGTTTTATCATCACATTTCAGTGTTTCTGATTTATGATTTGTGTTCTACTCCAAACCAATTTGCACAAGTTTTGCAAGAAAAATGCTGTGAACTGCCATGGCAAATAATAACATTTTACATGTATCTTTTCTTCTGGAAAACTTGGAGTTCTTGTCAGCTTCCAGCTAATTGATGCAAACTATGTACTTGTTTCATGTTGTTGTTGTTGTTATGTGCCGTCGAGTCGGCTCCGACTCATAGCGACCCCTCCTTGGGTTTCCGAGGCAGTATCACTACGGAAGTAGGATTGCCCAACCTTCCTTCTGAGGAGTGGCTGGTGGGTTTGAACCGCCAGCCTTCTGGTTAGCAGTCAAGTGCTTTTAGCCACTATGCTACTTGTTTCATAAGAAAGTGAAAATAAAATAAAAACCCAGAGAGGATTTGGAGTGCAATTATCTTCTTGTTCAACTCAGCCTAATTCTTAGGGGGTAAGACAACTCTTTATTTTAACTATGGCAAGGACAGCCTTATTTCACATTCTCTCCCAGTTTCTGTGCTCATAAAAGAAAATCAGTCACCTGTAAGTCCATCCTCTCTGCTCTCTCCTCTAAGAAAGGTGATGGGAAGGCAAAAGTCCTGTAAAATTTAGCCTGAATCCCATCTAACTAGAAATAAGTAGCTCAGATGTTGGCCTCAATCTAGCAGGAATAGGTCAGGGGGTGAAAGGATTCAAAGAAGCTAGTTTGATAGTGTTTGTTTTTTAAAATCCTCTAGCACCCCCTTTTTTCTAGGAAGAATATCTATTTAAAACTCCTATATTTTCTTTTAGATGGAAAAATGAATTCTTTTTTCAAAGACTCAGTGAGAAAAGGTGGATTATGGTCCAGGGATAGAATGAAGCTTCCTCCAGTAGATACATGCTGTTTCCTGCTGGCTTCCCAGGGCACACAGCTAGAAAAGCCTAGAATTCTCTCTATCAAGTCATCATGAATAGACTCTAAGACACAACACAAGAAGACTTGGAATTCCTGCCCACAAACTTGGAAGGCCTGTTGGCTCTCTTAGTGCCAGGATCTTCCATTGGTATAGTGCTTTCAGCTCCCATCAACTTTAGTTCCTATCAGTTCCCTAGACAAAGCTCCTGCTCCCAGAGACCTGCCTCAATGTTTCCTTTGTCCTCCCCTTACTTAAGTCCCACCTTGTCCTCCCAGTTCAACTCACCACAGGCAAACCTACCTTGACCATCTCACCCCAAACCAACATCTGCTCCCAAAGGTCTACGTCATGCCTCTTTATCTCCTTCTTTCCTTTTTAATGTAAAAGTTTTCTCCTCACTTAGCTGTTCATTCTTAAATGGCAGAGACCACGTATTGGTCATCCTTGAAAATCTTCACAGAGCCTGGTACTGCATCTTATTAATAAGATTCCTTGAATAAGTGAATATTGATGAACATGGGGAGCTCTAATGGCATGGTGCCTAAGACATTTGACTGCTAACCAGAAGGCTGGCAGTTCAAACCTACCAGCTACTCCTCAGAAGGAAGGTTGGGCATCTACTCCTGTAGTGATACTACCTGAGACAAGGATAAGTTCTGTAATCATACCATCACCATCATCATCTATCACAAAACCAAAAATCTTTCACATATTATTAAGAAGAATGTATTTCTCAGAACCACAGGATCTACTCAAATAGCCAGGTTCAAAGCCAGGTCGTTTGTTTGCTTGTTTGTTTTTAACTTTTCATTCACGATCAAGATTCTCGCTATTCACCTAGGATCTGCTGCAATGGAGAGAAGGGGAAGATGGAGGAAATGAAGATGGAGAAAAGAATGACATTTATTCACTGAACACACACACAAATCCACATCAGAGAAGCCTATCCAATCATCAATACACACACACACACACACACACAGAAGTATTGAAGAATGCAGACGCTCAGACATTAGTCCATCTTAGCAAAAACTAGGAATGTGTCTTCCAGAAAATGCCTCTGAGAGCTAACCAGTCTCTACCAGGAAGCTGAAATTCCCCAAGCTTCGGTAACACAGGACATTAAAGTAGTCATGCGACTCAGCACAGTCATCTTCCGTCTGCTCTCTGTAGAGTTCAGCAGGGGCAGCTTCTGCCCGCACACAGCTGCCAGGGAACGAGGGAATGCTGGGACTCCAATCCTCCTGTTCAGAGGGTGTTCTCCTGAGGCCACTTTCTGCAGAATGGATTTGAAGAGATCTCTTCTAAAAACAAACAAAGCACAAGGGAGTATGTGGGGATGTTATTCAAAAGTTGCTTCCTGACATGGTACACAGTTCTTCCTTTCTTGTACACACACACACATACATATACACAGGGAAACTTGTGTTCTTGTCAACACCACCAGTTCCTCAGCCCTAGTTTTTCAACATTGTTACACCAGATTTCAGTACTAACCACTCTACTTACAAAACTTGCTATGCATGCCCTGTGCCCCGTGCCCCATTACTTCTTATAAAGCAGCTTCAGTCCCAATTCTCCTTCACTCTGTGTTGCATTGGACACTGTTGACCTCTGTCTCCCTCTCCCCTCTCCCTTTCTCCCCTCTCCTCTCTCCCTGTCCCCTCTCCCTCTGTCTCTCCCTCTCCCCTCTCTCTCTTTCTGTCTCTCTTTCTCAAGGTCTCCTTCCTTGTCTCCTATGGCATAGTTCTCTCCTGATTCTCCTCTCCTCTGCTGACTACCCACCTTCTTATTCATCCCAGGCTTGCTCTTTCTTCTTCCAGATCAGTTCAGCTAATGAAGGGGTTCCCCAGGGTTCTGCCCTCTGTTTTCTCACACTCAACACTTGCTCTCTGTCTCTGAGTTGCTTCATTCTTATATGCATCTACAACCACCATCTATCCCCTGAAGGGTCCCAAACTCTATTCAAACTGGTCAGGGGTTTTCCCCTAGCTCCAACCCAGATGTCCAGCTACTAATTGGGCATCACTATCTTATGGCCCTCCTCAGAAGGAAGATGGGGCAATCTACTTCCGTAATGATACTGCCTTGGAAACCCAAGGAGGGGTCGTTATGAGTTGGGGCCAACTCAACGGCACATAATAACAACGTCTTATGGCCTGGGAGCTCTGGTAGCGTAGTGCCTAAGGCAATTGACTGCTAACCAGAAGGCTGGTGGTTCAAACCCACCAGCCACTCCTCAGAAGGGAGATGAGGCAATCTACTTCCATAGTGATACTGCCTCAGAAACCCAAGGAGGGCTTGCTATGAGCCGGGTCCGACTCAATGGCATATAACAACAACATCTTATGGCCCACCACAAGCCCAGACTCAACTTGCCTCCATGGGAAACATCACATTCCACCCCCCACAAACTACTCCTGCTCCTATATTCTCTCCTGGTTTATTGCACCAGCTAACCAGAAACCTGAAGGCTGTTAGTCTCCAATCAGCATGAAATCCCATCTAATTTTACTCCCAACTAGCTCTAAAATCTATTCCCTCCTTTCCAATCCTACCACTATGACTTATCTATCACCTGCACTTCTTTATTAACCTTCCCCTAGACCCTCTCCCACCTGTAACCCAACTTTTGCATGGCCCCCAATGGAGGGATCTTTCAAAAAGGAAAGATGACTTATGCTATGCTTCTGCCTCAAACCTTTCATGGCTTTCATTGTCTATAGAAGGAGAGCCACAGGTGGACTTTAAGGGATTTGAAAACCTCCTTAAATTGCATAAAAAATGTTTGTGTAAAAGTGCATTCTTCTGGAAAGAAAGTTCATAATTTCACTACAGTTTCTAAAGAAGACTGCCATGCCCCCAAAAAACCTTTTGTGACTTGGTCATGTTCACACTTCCAGCTTCATCTTCCACCATACTTCCCCAAATACCCTCTACCCTCTGCTATAGGACCTGGACACTGGGAGGGGGGGGAGCTATCATTTATTGAGAATCTGCCATGAGCATGCACTAGGCTAATTTCTTTATGTCATCCGAGCCTCAACCCTATCACAATTTCTACTCTGAGATAAGCTACTATACAGAGACATGTGAAGTCACTTCCCTAGAGACAAATCCAATTTTGACTCAGGTTTCTCTTTCTCTCCAGCCAAGCTGCCTCTCCTCTTGCAGTTTCTCAAATGCCATACACTGACTGCTTCCTGCCTTTCCATTTTGTATATACTGCATCCATTGTTCATTACCTGTAGTCCCCCTAAAGTTTGTTCCAGACTCAGCTCCACGGAAGGAGTCCAGGAAGCCTCCTCTGACTCCCTCTGGGAGTTCTATTCCTCCTGGGTGCTATCATTTGGTCCTGGGTGTTCTCTAAAGTTTATCTGTTCACTCTTCTGTGTTTCCTGGCCCTAAACAGTACATTCCCTGGAAAGAGTCTGTGCTGCATTCCTCTGTAACTTCAGACCCCATAACAGATGCTCAATATATGTTTGAGGATTGAAACAAGCTTTCTCTCTCTCTCTCTCTCTCTCTCTCTCTCTCTCTCTCTCACTCTCTCACTCTCTCTAGCTCCCCTATAGCCCCATACCTAACAAACCTGATTTTTCAAATCAAAGCAGGACTCATGGCCAGACAATTACAATGGCTCTTAGTGGGATAAAAGGACAGAAGTGTTGAAATTTGTTTGGAGAAAACAGAATATGGAGGCATATCCATATAAGAATCTTGTAGGTGAGGGTTATGCTAAGGTGAGGAAATCCAATAACAGCATGCACAAGCAAGATGATCCAAAAACATACTTAATGACACCCCAGTGCAAAGCTGGCACCTTCTCAGCATGAATAAAGACTGTTGTAAAGTGGGTCACTCTAGCATAGGTCTGAATGACAGGATCATCAAGAACCACCAGCTTGGAAAATAACAGCAATGAACACAAAACAAACATCATTCTGTCCAACCACCGCTGCTCCTAAGATAGGAAACACCAGCACCATCAGCAGCTAGTGCTAAGCACAACAGTGTACACATACATATGCAGGGAGGCTGAGAAGGAGGGTGGATGGGGCTCTGTGGATGTGCACAGTGATAAATATAAAAAGCTAGGGATGGAACCACACTGTAGGGCTTGAGATGCTGGGCTGAGAGAGGCCATCTTTAGTCTCAGAACCACACACTGGAGTTAGGTGGTCCCCTTCTCCCAACATCACCCCTCCCACATTTGTTGTTTTATCATTCCTTTTCAGTAGACGTGAATGAAGCTTAAAGTACATATATAGAGAAAGGATAGTTAGTGTAAGGTACGCTGATGCTGCACTTAAAAGAAAAAGTGCATGCCTTGATGTAATCCAATCTGTTTTTAAAAATATGAAAACCTAATTCTTTCTCAGTGAACTATTTGTGAGCTTTTATGCTGATGTGTTCTAGTTCCCATTCTTGGTCAAACAGACCACCCTTGCCTTTGAATCTTAAGACAATTTTGGCCTCCAAAAGCCCTTGGATAAATACAAATGTGGCTGGCATGTGTCCCTCAGATGCTCCATTTTCATTCCATCCTGTATGGGAATCTCCATAACTGTACTTAGTGCAAAAACTAAATCTAGACCTAATGCACTGATGTTGTCCAGCAGGACCAAAGGGAGCTACAGAAATTGCAGTTGAGCTCCATCAGAAAAAACACTGCCTGTTGGAGAACATGAGGAGAATGGGCAGTGAAGTTGGCAGAGTCACTGTCCAGAAGTTGAAGATACCCATATGTCTTTTCCTTCCCAGAAAGGTCCCCTGGGGGCACTTTCACCAATAGCTGCTTAACAAATGGCATTCATTCATTTGTTCATAATAAATTCATGCAATATAAATATTTATTGAGCACTAGGTATTATGAAGTACTGTGCTAGGTGAAATTTATAATAATTATAAGAACTTAATAAAAATAGTTTTTTTGTATCAAACCAAAACCAAACTCACTGCCATTAAGTCAATTCTGGCTCATGGCAACCCCCATTGGGTTTCTGAGGAGGTAAATCTTTATGGAAGTGGATTGCCCAGTATGGTGTGGTAAATTACCTGGTATGGCTTTTCTAGCCAAAGGTCTTTGTAAACTCTGGTGGAATTTGCTGTGAGCAACTGAGGAGCTCCTGATTATAAAAGTGATCCATTTGGGGTATTTCTGTTGGGCGCAACACAAAGCAATGTTCTGGGAGGTCCCTGCTCTCTCTCAGGTGCTTAGAATTCTGATATTATGATTGGTTGGTTTGGCCACTCTGCCAGGCTCAAAAGGAGGCCTCCTAGAGGCAGAACTCTCTCTGACTGCTGGCTGAGGAAGGACGTGCTCCTGCAAGACACACACTGCTGGGAAAGAGATGCAAGAGACTCACATTGCTGAGAGAGACACCGAGGGACACGCACTCCTGGGAGAGAGACTGTGAGAGACTGTTGAGAGACGGCGGGCTGCGGAGAGAGACTGAGCATTTTTTCCTGAACTCGAATTGTAGCCTGTGGTGCTTCCCTAATAAACCCCATAATCTGAGAGTTCTGTGTGACCACTGCAGCGAATTATCGGGCCCAGGAGAGAGGTGGTGGGTGCTTTGGGAGGAACGGTTGGTGAAAGGGCTGGAGGGAGGCAGCATGTGTGGCCTTGCAGTAATAGGCCTTGGGCTATTGATGGTGATTCTGTCTTCCTCTTGTGGGGTTAGAGGAGGTCAGAAGATGTGGCCCCCTTGCCCTTTTTGCACCCAGTCTTCCTTCCGTGGAGTAGCTGGTGGGTTTGAACTGCCAACCTTCTGGTTAGCAGTCAAATGCCTCAGGCACTACACCACCAGAGACCGGGAAAAATACCAAGTGACTTACATGAAGAATTTGACTTAAGTTTTACTACAACATAATTATGGTAGCACCATAACAATCCTCATCTTTCACATGAGGCAACTGAGGCTCGGCAAAGTTAGATGACACATCTACCCAAGTGGTAAAACCAGGACTCAAACAGAGGTTCAATTCCAAAGTCCATGTCTCTAATTAAAACAATCAAGTAGCTCTTAGAGTCTATAGTGAATGCTTTTATTGCACTGCTCAGATCCCCTCTACCTGACCATTCTCTTATTTCCCCAATGCTGTGACTATAGGCTATGAGGAATTCTTGGTAGAATTCTTCAGGTTTGTCTCTGAATGTGTTGGCATGGGGAGAACCAGTCTTCTTTTCCTTCCTACCTCTTGCTTGATCTATTCCTTTGAGGAGCCTCACCTGTATAGGTATGGCTATCTCAGCACACATATCCAAGCTTCACCTATACACCTGCAAAATCACCTGTCC